GGGGGGGGGGGAGAATCTGAGCATTCGCCGAAGCAAAATTTGCATCCACCAGAATAGACCATGTTATTTGAAAACTTTCGTGTGACCTATTATCTACTATTCGATCGATCATTGAAACTACATCCGAAATGTAATAAGTGCATTGTACCGGACTGGCGTCCGATGAAAGAGTGACTCGCAGATACCGAACCCCCGAATTCGNGAGGAATTCGATGTGGATATAGCGACAGCGCTATTTAAAGGTCGGTGAGGACCAATCACAGGGATGGGATAGCAAAGTGACACCAAAGACGGGTGGGGGACCACAGATGGCCATCGTGATCACGGTGTAATTGAGAGAATAGACAACAAACACGAGGCGGGGGGTCTGGGGTGGTTAAACACACAAGGCGGGCGGTAGCATGTGGGTCAAGAAATAACTGATTGTGAGAAAACAAGTGAACAGTAACAACAGTGAAGACGGTAGGATATTCATAGCGCGTGGGTAATGAACAGGTGACCACATTAACACGAGACAGTTTCTATTCCGGGTTGAGATAATCGATAACGATAATGGATAGAGCACAGAACAAGTGACAGTTACTACTACACAGTGGGGTGGAGATGATAGTTTACGCTAATAGGTTGGACGAAGAACGGGTCATGACAATTAACACGAAAGTTGCTATATGGGGCGGTTAGGTAATCATACGGAAAAGTGCAAGCTGAATGGCCATGGAGGGGGAATGTAGCAAGTTCCGATCCGGTGGGCAGAGGTCATCCAATTGGTGGTTGGTTAGCACCGCACATGAATTGTTGGGTTTTTAACACAGTACAGGTAGGTTCGGTGTACGTAATTTCAACCATACAATAAAGCATCTTACATGCAATCAGATGAAGTGCGTAGAGTGAATGAACGATTGGTCTTAATCTATTCGTGGATTTTATCTCTCATTCTAAATATTTCTACATACTACTGAATAGCTCGCGGACTTACCTGTGCCCGTATTCGCTGTTCTGATTTTAAACGGAGCAATTGCCCACTACTCATTTGAGATGAGAATACTGTCAAATTACTGTCGTCAAACATTATATTTCATCCTCATGCCGATCGGATTCATTAGCATTTGTGCGTCTGGGTCTGGCCATCCAATCCATAGGTGCATAAAACGTATTGCGATGTGAATTGCGCTACATTTTGTGCTTTGCGATATCAACAATGGCAACAATATGTTTCTCATCACTATCTTCCGTGTATCCGCTTATCGCTTATTCGACATTTTCTTTAAAAGTGTTCTTTTTGGTAGAACTATTTAGATATCCCTCACTCATTCACCGTTAATTCTTCTATTGCCGAGAGTTTTGTAGCTTTCAACCGGAAAAATGTATGAAGAGAAAGCGATCCAAATTGTGCTACTTTGCCTAATTCGAACTGTTTGGTCCGTTGTTCCCAATGGCCGTGTTGTGAAAATAAGCTCCTCGCCATTTATCTGTGTTTATTTATTTAAACTGATTATCCTTCGGGCTTCACCTTCACGCACAATCCTTAGTTCATCGATCCAACCATACACTCGGAAGCACTAGACTCGAGTTTCACTATTATTGGAGCTCATCAGTAGTGCATATTCACCGTCCCATCCGGAATTCGAACTCCGGACCCATCTCAAGGAAGGGATGTTCGTTACCACTGTGCCAACCAGCTCACACCAGGGCTGAACCGAATTGCCAGTTCTTGTTTGTTCAGGTGTTGTCTTCAATGATAGTCAGTTTATTTGACCTGACAGCAACGAAGGGAGACACAAATGACAATCTGTTAACTCCAGTCGAAGGCCTCCCACCAAGTCAGGACTACCATGTAGGTTGCAGGCTCATTTGCCAACAAACCTACAAGGGTAACACACGTCTTCCATGCGATGAGTCCGGAGTTCAAATTCCGGACGGGACGGTGGGTATGCACCACTGATGAGCTCCAATATGAGCGAAACTCGAATCTAGTACTTCCTGGTTGAATGGATGAACTGAGGATTGTGCATGAATGTCAGGTCGGAAGGATAGTCAGTTTAAATCAGTAAATATGAATTATCCCACACCACTACTCACAAGTAACTGTGAGTTAAATGCGGATTTATCTGTCTCCTGTACCAACAGGCTAGGCTACTTCGAGCGTCAGGCATGCATAATGACCGTGAATCAGATGATTGCTGAAATGACACGGCACTACGTGAGTCAGGGAGTTCGTCAAATGTATGTCCTCGTACTCGGACTAGACGTGTTGGGCAATCCATTCGGTGTGCTTCGTGGTATGGCTCAAGGGGTTGAGGATTTGTTTTACGAACCAGTTAAGGTGAGTCCGATTGCCTTTTTCGCGTGTCTTACCAGTTTCCCGTGGTGGTTTTTATCATCCACTTCAATGATGCTGCTCTGTCGCCGTCACCGATTGTAGAAAAAGTACTCTGTGAATTACCCTGTCAATACTTTCACTTTGACTGTAGAATTTCAGACTTTCTATCGTACATTTTCTGATTTGGCGCAGTTGATTTGAGTTGCCGTAATCCGTTTTTGTATAATTGGCTTATGTAGTTGTACACTTTGGTAGCATTTTCTTATTCTGTGCGAGACTGCCGAAAGCCGTCACAGAAAACTTCACAAGTAAATTCTTGTTTGAAGTATAATTCCAAACCTCTTTCATTTCGCTACGGTTATACATGAACGCCTTTTCGTTGTTGAATGCCTTGAAACTCCAAAGCTGATTTCAAATCTGTCGATCTACCGTATGTGGGCTTGTGTTTGGAAATAAATAGATACATGTGCAAATGGGTGAGGACTAAAATATGTCATAGAAGGAGTTAGTCGTGTATCGGTTTCAGCTTTCTACAACCATTAACCATGCACTTTCGTGCGTCGGTTTTGGTTGCTGTCTTTTGGTGCCCCATTTGGATAAAAGAGAATGATCAAGATTGGAATGTTAAAAACCAATTCAAACAGAACATAGAGAACTCATATAGAGTGGTGTTACGAGAACAATGAGTAGATGCATGAGCGCCACTGTTTGCGACATCCAGCCATATCCGTCAGTGTCTCTCACTATCGGTGACCATGATCTCGGGGTCCCCAGCCAGGAAACCTAACGGGACCTATGTGACCCGTCTCTTGGTTAGGGTTTTCATACCCTCATGCCAGGTCTTCGTGTATAAAGTAAATGAAGCGTGAATCGAAAAGATAGGATGCACTGTACAGCTGTTTTGACATGTTGGGTCTCATCGGCAGTGCGAATCCACCTACCTCACTGGGGTCGAACCCGGGATCTCACAGGCGGAAGGCAAGCATGCTACTCACTCGGTTCCCAGGCAACTGATCAGATCGTTTTTTATTTTCAATTTACACGATATAACACGGTCCATCTTTTCCAGCTTGTTGCTTTAACGGTCTGGTGTGCGGTCGCATAATTTGTGTGCTCCCGGTTTAAGTAGATTTACTCCGCCATAACTCGTCATACATCGACGAGTTTACACCCGTTCGACTCAGTTCTCTGAGATGCGATATCTTTCTCTCTCGGAAGATAAAATTATCATTCTAAAGAATTCTCGTCTTCTCAATCTGGCTTTGCTTGTACTCCCAAATACTACCATGCCTTTCGAGTATAAATCGGAACCGTGTTTACTCATGTGCACTACTTGGTCATATTTGGTTTGTACTTATGCGCGTGCGAATACGTTTTCACTGCGTTGACACCAATCCGCCGGGCATTTCCTGTCATCCCAATTCCAGTGGTTATTGCACTGTTTCCTGTTTTCTGGATCTATAACATGTGGACTATCTCACTGTTCCCCGTAATGTTCTGTTCTGTAAGTACCCTATGATCATTCACTTTTTCTGACCAAATATTCCGACCTTTCTCATCGACTTTCGTCCTGTTCTTTCTGATTGAAGAGCAACGTGTCGGTTCTTCGGGTTGCTCTTGATCCCCTTTCCCTCCTACCCACTGCGTACAAAGCCGGTACGAATGCGCATCGAGCAAATCAAAGACAGAGAAATGTTTCTTTTTCATTTTCAACCGAAGGCACTGTCTTTGGCATCCCACTCTGATCCTGTGTGAACTATTTATGGTTTCTTCACTTTGCAAATCACTTCACTCAAACGGAAGCCTGTCTGGTATTCTATGCTGCAGGAAAACGCCACTGTTTATCTTCTCGTTCACATCCCCAAATTCTATTTCCCCCTAGGTTTATTCATCAGCTTCTTCTCGCACTCCAATATTTATGTCCACCCAAAGGAGTACTATGTGAAGTAGGTCCGATGGGCGTTATCAACCTCTGGCTTGACCCCACTGTACTCAAAATGTATGGTTTTTCTGACTTCATCTGAACTTTTTCTTGTCGATTGAAAGGGTGCTCAGTTAGCTATAACTCCAAAAAGGTGCAACATGCTAAAGCACGAGTTTTATTGATTCATTTCCATCAATTTTGACCTTATACGTACAACACATGCAACCTGCTGTCACCACCGGGTCTAAACGTTAAATCATCAATCATGTGAAACTGACTGCTTCTCGGCTCCACTCTATCATTTTGACCGATCGGTTAATTTCATCAGTGACGTATTTCGCAGTCAGGCGAACTAGCCCTATGCCCATCGCTAGTGTATTGATCCAGTCGAACGCAGTACTGTGATCATCGCTGGCCGCCCTTCATTTCTTCGTATAATCAGGATTTTAATAACCAAGCAAATAATTTGCAATAAACTGTAGAATCTCAACACCCACACCTCGTTCGTAGTTGTGTTCTACTACCTTTTTTCTGTGGTTCTCCAGGGTGCCGTACTTGGACCGGAAGAATTTGCTGAAGGAGTTGCTCTAGGTGTGAAAAGCCTATTCGGTCATGCAGTCGGTAAGTTGATGGTAACTCATGCACGCCTACTTTCCTCGCATGCTTCGAACTGAACCGTGTGCTGCTTTGTTAGACGGTGTTGGGCTTTTTCTATCACCATCTGATCATCTGATCGTTTTATTTTTTGCCATCCGATTGGAGCCTGACCGATAGATGTTGAACTGATTATAGCTCGTACTCGGCCTGTATTTTCAATTTTTTCTGGAGGAGAACGCATTTTTTAGAATCGGACTATAGTTTTCATCGTTTTTCTTCTCTTCTTCACCCTGCTCTCCCATTAGTCTGTACTGTTGTTCTTGCTCGTTGTTGTAGGTGGGGCTGCTGGTGCTGTTTCTCGTATCACGGGCACTATCGGTAAGGGTGTGGCCGCATTGACCTTGGACGAAGATTACAAACGTCGTCGACGCGAACAACTGGCACATCGACCGGAAAACTTCGGTGCGGGTCTAGCACAGGGCGGTAAAGGTCTGGTGATGGTAAGTGTTGCCCATGACTAGTTTGTTCGGTTCCTCGTTCTTGCCAGTGCTTCGGTTGGTCCTTACACGCGTTGTCCCCCCCCCCGCTTTCTCTCTATGTAAACTTTTACAGGGCTTCTTGCATGGAATGAGTGGAGTAATAACGAAACCGGTCGAGGGTGCTAAAAAGGAGGGATTCGAAGGATTCTTCAAAGGTGAGTTTTTTCTCTTGAGATCCCTTAACGGTTTTCAAACCGCCAACCCTACTTACCTTCTAGTTAACGCAAGTGCGTAATACACCCTTGCCCATTAAGAAGAACGAAACATCAAACAACAACAAAATTGCAAAAGGTGTACGGTGAAACACACAAAAAAATTCTGTTATCTTGTATTTTCCATGTTTAACTGTCTCACCCACTTTTCACCATGTTCTGTATCTTAATCCACCTATCCCCTTCATTGTCACTGNTTTTCAAGCCGGTGGTATATATATATATATATATATATATATATATGTTATTGTTGCTTTCCTTTGACCCAACCGAACCGGGCGGTGGTGGACAGTTGGTAACGTCACCAAATTATCACCCCGGGGATGTGTATTCGAATCTCACCACGAACACCTGATTTTCTCATTTCATGTTGATTGGCCCTTTCCCCCTTCTGAAAAGTGTATCATTGTATATTCAATAAAAAGAAAAAATTAAAAACACAATGATTGATGCCAGAATTGGAAGTGTATCGATTGGTATCATTTTTTTGAAGTAGGGTGGGACGTTCGATCTAAACCGCATCTTTTCCCCATGATCATGTACAATCAATTCAATCACCGAGTCTTCACACTTAATCTGGTTACGTTGCGTGCTTTTCAGGCGTTGGCAAAG